GATGCAGTTGACCAGTTTGAACATGTATTGCAATATATGCAAACCAAGACTCCCTGTTTGCTAGCCACATGTCCGGGTGCATAGCGGTGTGCGGAAGGTTCATTCACAATGACGCGTTGACGTGATTCTCATAAACGATGATCTTTCTGCGTTTTTCTATTTATTGACTATTTTATTTTCCTTTTCAGCCCAGGAAATAATACTGCTAATGGGATGCGTCGTAGTGATGCTCTGCACGGGAACTGACATCGGTGGGTGTGACACTTCTTCTGATTCGTCTGCCTTTTATTTGTCAATAACATGAATAATGAGACTTCACGGCCGCACTCCGTACATGTAATAAGCAAGGAACACATGTGAGGTGTAAGCCCTCATTCACACGGGAATCGTCCGGCATGTACAGCTCCGGTGCTGCGTGCACGGTCGTATCGGGCCGCTCCCGGGAAGGACTGGTGCTGCGTGGGATTAGTACTCACCCCCCGTCCTTCTCTATGGGACCGTGCGGCCGTACGCACCCCTACGCTCACCCCTAGTGCAGCTCCATGCGGGTGAGCGTACACTGACAGGATGGATCCTGTCTGCATCCGAGCCGGGACACACGCACCCACACAGAACTGCACTTGAAGTGAGCATAGGGCGGTGTACGGTCGCGTAGTCCCATAGAGAAGGACGGGGGCTGCGTACTAATCACACGCAGCACCTGTCCTTCCCGGGAGCTGCCCGATACGGCCGTACACGCAGCACGGAGCTGTACCTGCCGGCCGATTCCCTTGTGAATGAGGCCTAAAGCTGAACTCCGGGTAGACAACTTAATGCAGCTCTGTAATCATTAGTATATTTATTGATGTAAGCTGTATTATTACCTGAATTTGACCCGGTACCGGCCTCTTGCAGTCCCTGTACAGCAGAGCTCATGCTGCGGCAGACAGAAGCAGCAAAAGGAGCCAGTTTATGTGCTACAAAAAAAAAGCATCTTGATAGGAGGAGAAAGCAGAGAGATGAGCTCATGACTGCGCTGCTTCTCCTTCCTGTCCAGTCACAGGCTGAGGGGTGGGTCTGGGACAGCCTGGGCTCAGAGGAAGTGGGTTGTATGATGCTGCCTGTCATTCAGCTTGTACGACTGAGGACATCTAGTGGTGGAAAATAAGTAGTGCAGGGAACAGATGCAGATTGAAAATGAGTATTGCAGCTTTTTATTAATTGTATCCATTATTACATTGTCCCCATGCTCTTAACTGTCGTACCTGCGGCAGGTGTGGATGTGGCTCTGGCTCCGCCTCCTTAGCATACCATAGCTGAGCAGGTCTGGGCATTCTGCTCCTGTGCTGTAATGGGTGGGGTGGGCTCAGACACAGGATTTGGAAAGGTATCAGGTCAGGGCTGTGAATCAGTTGCTCCTCCCACTGACATAGATCATAAAACCATAATGGCTGATTCTTTATAACGTAATATCATTATTGATCATCATTGATTTCCTTCATGAAACGCGTTCCTTTATTTGCAGGCTTCCGGTGCTGATCGAGTCGATGGGAACACACAGCTGGGGCGACAACACACCGCCAGACCATTCCAACCACAGCTGTGCGCTTTACTCATCATTGTCACCGCAATCCGGATTTGCTCAGTGCTCTCTGTCTCTCAGTAAGGGGGCGGGGCTACAGCTCAGTATTAGGAGTCCTCTGCAGACTGATGAGTGACGCAGAGATCAGCCAATGGCCTGTAAGGAAGAAGGGACAGCTCTCATCTCAGGTTACCTGGTCCTGCGCTCGCTCTGGCATTCCTGCAGCGCAGATGGGTACAATCGCTTTTTGTTGTTGACGCCGAGGCTCCTGTGTATTCCTCAGACTCTTGCCTGATTTCGGCTGGATCGCTTGATGACCTCATGCCCCCCGCATGAACGTCCCCATGCAAAAGGACAAATGGAGAGGGTTGGAAGCCGTGTCTGTTGGTGTTTCTTTCCTTGAAACATAATCTGGATCCAGGAGACTTCCCTCATTTTCTTCACTTAAAGGGCGTGTCCAAATAGAACCCAAATGTACCCCCCAAACCTCCCTTTATCCCTCTAGATCGCGTCCCAGCATTCATTCTGGTCTCTCACCTCGCTCCTCCAGTAATATACAGCTTTTGGCATCATCACCAGGCCTTGTGAAGTTCTGTTCTGTTGGGTGGTCAGTTCCTGTGGATGCCCACAGAACTACATCTCCCAGGAGCCCTTTCACTACGCACAGTGTGTGGGCGGGCTCTTGGGAGACAAGGCAGCAGCAATGTCTTGCAGGGAGAGAAATCAATGCAGAAATGTTTGCAGCACCTCGGTGAAATCCTGGCCTGGACACTATCGGCATGGAGTTTGTATGTTCTCCCTGTGCTAGAGTCGGCGTCCTCCGGGTACTCCACAGACATTTGGAGTACACGGAGGACGCCCACCTGGTAGGTTAATTGGCTCTTGCCTAAATTGGCCCTAGTATGCATGTGCAATGGGGGACCTTAGATTGTAAGCTCCTCGGGGGCAGGGGCTGATGTTTATGTGCAATGTATGTAAAGTGCTGCGTACATGGCTGGTGCTTTATGAATACCTGTAGGGAGTGGCAAAGTTCAGCCGCGCGGCAGGCAAGGCCGACTACACTGGTTGGGATTTCAGTACATCGGGGACACTCGGGGCCGGTGCTAGACTATTTTGCACCCTAGGCAATACCAGCTACTTTCACCCCCCTAGCCCTTCTCCCCGGCGCAACCCCAAATCCCCCCGCGCGCGCGGAGCCCCATTCTCCTGCCGGTCTAGCTTCCCGCAGGCAACAAGTGTATGTGAGCAGCCGGGAGCAATAGCCAGACTGCTATTGGCCATTTTAATTTGAAATAGCCAATAGCAGGCTGGCTATTGAAAACCCCACCTACTGAGCAGAGGAGCGGACCTGAGAGAGAGAGTTGTCTCTCAGCTCCACTCCTCAGTGGGTGGGGTTTTATATAGCCAGCCTGCTATTGGCTTTTGCAATTTAAAATAGACAGGGAGTGCACCATGGGGGGGGGGGGGGGGAGTGTTCAAGGCTGCAGTGCAATGCGCCCTAGTGTCCCCTGTGTCCACTGTGTTGGCAGCCCAAACAGGAAGCACACTGCATTTCTGGCAGACCAACCAATTTTCATTTATCTTTGCACTTTTATAAAGGGATATAACAGGGGGGGGGCTGTATTGCAGAGATGTACTGAATGGTCATGGTCATGCGACCACTCAGTCACTTCTTCTCCCCGCAGCTTGGAAAGCTGGGGGGTGGAGACTGCACAAGACGCTTGGCGGCTTCCACCAACGTCACAGGTCAATCACAATGGTGGGGGGCAGTCTATAGGACAGGAGTAGTCACTGCCAATCACTCTTACCCCACCACCACCCCTCGTCAGGCTTCTAGCTTACCAGCGGCACTACTTGATGGGGTGGGTAACAGTGTTTGATTGACAAGGGCTCCTTCTGCCATTGCAATTCACAGGGCAGGGCAGACTGTTCCCACCCACCGTGGATCAGAGAGCAGGGTAAACTGTAGGAGAGGCTTTTTTTAGGATTCCAAAACATGTACACAGGAGGTGACAACACTGCAGATGAACACGCAGAGCGTTGCCGCCGATAACTATGCAAGAGGGTTTCCCTGGCAGGATCAGCAGGTATCATTTTAAAAAAGAAATACAATGTGTCAAAAAAAAGGAACACATTGTTATACACAACAGCCATTGTAATAAATGAACTAATACAGCCATTGTGTCCGGCTCTGCCATGCTTTTTTTATATTTAAACATGAAGCCATTTGTATTTTAGATATATTGTTCTTTACCTTTTTGTATAATAAAACTTTAACACCTTAGATATACTTTGCGTCTTCCTCTTCTCTGTCTCGCTCAGGCTACTATGGAAGTCCCGGCTACAATTCACATTCTCAACTGACCCTTGCTGCATTGCATACTGCCAACTCGCCACTAGGCGGCGACAAAGGACAGTCCACACACCAGGATTCCCAATTTCAAAATAGTTTATTACATAGCACAGTGCTGGGTGCAGTTTAAGGCACCTTTTGGTGAGGTTTTTTTTTTACTTGCACAGGATGTGCGACGTCATTTTTGGCTGCTGGCGCTGCTCTTCTAAAACCGCGGCGGCCTATAGACCCGTTATGTTGTATTTCCTGAAAAACACAAAAGTTGTCACAGTGGGCTTAAAATGTATTTGTTGATGGGGGCCGTCTGCCAACTGTTAGGGAGATTTCCATTCACTTACTGTCATGGTGACGCAACCTTTTAAGAAGGGGGTGGGAGCAGGGGCCTCCCGAGGCAGGGTGTCACCCGGAGCAGGTACCAGGTGACACCCCGCTGTGACGTCATTGCGCACGATGTTACCACGCGCATGCGCGATTACGTCATGGTGCATGCACAGTCCTCTTTTTGATACTTGCCGGCGGCCATCTTGGTAATGGACGCCAGCAGAGAGAGGAGGGGACGTTCAACCGGCGGGATGAGGTATGCTGCCGGGGGCACCTCCTCTCTCTCCTGCAGCTGTCGGGCTCTCAGTCCATGACCGAGTGCCCGACTTTTCAGAGGGGGGGGTGACACCAAAATGACTGTCAGTCATTCTGGTGTCACCCCTCCAATGGTGTCACCCGGGTGCGGGCCGCACGCCCCGCACCCCCCTTGTGACGCCACTGGGTGGGAGAGATCAGGTGACCCCCATCAGAAGGTTTTCCTTCTATTCCTGTCCCGTTGACAACTATTATTTTCGGTCTTGATGGCAATGGTCACCAGATCAAAACAGAGAGGGTGAATCTCCCCGGTGAAGACACAGACAGAGGTTCTAACTCTTCCCATCTCCATCCAAAAGTAAAGAGAGACGTTTAGGACCTCTGACATTCTAATAATTGAGGCTTACTGACCTGTGGCCACGTTAAATGTAAACATTTGACTTTCTTGTTCTCATTAGTACATGACCTCATAGTAACAAAAGGAGAAATGTTACTTCTCAACTCACCGCTTCTGTCGCCTCCTGCACGAGAATCCGCGACATCTCCCACCTGCAGGAACAAGTTTCACATTCAACAAAAGGGGAATCTCTGAGCTCCAGGTGCAATAAATCAGGACAATAGCACACTATGGCCACTAGATGGAGCCAAGGCTCACATTGCTCCTCAGCTCCATCTAGTGGCCACAATGTGGTATTGTTCTGTTACGTTCATATCTTATGAATGAATTACATTCAACCTGGAAAAGGATAAAAACACTAAATCACATTTGTTTTTACCCCCCATTGGCTCAGAGCGAACGTTCATGCAGTTTCGCAGGACACATTGCTTTGCAATTTTTTTTATAAATACACCACCGGTGCGAAGGATCCAATGATAGGAGCAGATGTATCAATAGTACACAGAAAGTCGTAAAAATAAAAAAAAATAAAAAATCAAGTGTTATAAATGTAACTTAGAGGAAGACCCCACCCCATGATAACAGGCGATAGTAAGCTGATGTAGCATGTCATGGGGATTCAGGAAATATCGAAGAGGAAAAAGAAAAGATAAGAGTCAAGATCAGCCTCCACCCTCAGATGGGCACAGCGGGTGTACAGACCCGGGAACTCAGCACAGGGATGGTGGGAGCCCCTCATAATGGGAACCCGGGAACTCAGTGATGATATTGTCTTTTGTGGAATGTTCTATGATGCTGCAACACAAGGCTTAAAAAATACTGCAACCTTCCTATGTGACAGGACCAGCAGACCCTCCATGGGTCCATGTCACACTCACCAGCGACATGATCACTAAGACTTACCTGGTTCTACTGCGTCACTCCATCGCTGGCGGCTGCACCAGAGAGATGTCCCTCCTTCTACGGCATGGGTAGCCAAACTCCGGCCCTCCAGCTGTGGTGAAACTACAAATCCCATGAAGCATCTCTCTCCGGGAGTCATGTCTGTGGCTGTGAGAATCTTGCAATGCCTTATGGGATTTGTAGTTCCACCCACAGCTGGAGGGCCGCAGTTTGGCTACCCCTGTTCTACAGCAAGCAATCATCTGCAGCGTTCCCACCACCGAGGGAGTGACACCATAGAAGAAGGGGAGTCATTACTTGGCAGTCTTGTTGCTGGTGAGTTGCCCCCACGGCAAGGATCACTCCTCCCCCCTTCACCTGTCTGATTAATCACCTGACAGTTCAACAAGCTCAGGTGAGTCCAATCAGAGGAGCGAGTCACATCAGAGGGTCTACAACATCCCAACAGTAAGTCCTTTTTATCTGATTCAATCAAGGCTCCAACATGTGATGGGGGCACCATAGCAGAAGGGAACCCCTACATCTCCCCCATGTAGAAGTATGGAAGACTTTCATAGCAATCTGTCAAATGTTTCCATTGCAGTAATGTGTGAATAACCTCGATGCACACAACGTGTATTGAAATGCATTGTAGCCGTCTCACTTCGTTTTCATGGGCGCTGTGCAAGCCATTGGTGCCAAGTATTAGAATAAGAATACATTGGTTAAATGATGTTGCTACTTATATAGATCACAGAGCAGCTGTGGGGGCCCCATTGCAGTTGCATGGAGTGCTTTGCCTACTGATAAGTCTTTGGGATCATTGCATATTGCTCCCTTCTGATGCCAAGACTGCGGGTCAGACTCGCACCTTTTCTAAGGGCCCCTTTACACCACATCCAGATCAGACCAGATTGTTTCTGGACCCAAAATGCATCCCAATGTTTCCCTATGCTACTTCTTGCCTCTGTTCACACCATCGCAGTCCAGACCAGACAAATACCGCATGTCTCATTTTGTCTGGTCTGGAACGTACTGGAACTGCGGGCAGGTTCACACACCATTCACACCAGATCTGGTCCAGAAAATGGTGTGAACCTGCCCTCATAAGTCAATGCAGGTCAACGCATCACACAGATTAGGGCCATCCCTTTAATGAGGGTGCCTGAGGCTGTTGCCTCAGATCATGGCATCTCTGTGGGTCACATGGGGGGGGCAGCAGGCAGATCGGCATGGCTGCTATGGAACCCCTGGCACAGATGTACACCTTCACCACTTGCAACCAATGCTGACCTGTGCACGTGTGTTTAAAACCCATAACTGTGTGAATGGGCCCCGAGATGAAAGCTGTGCAGCCAGGAGGGAGATACTTACTGAACAGGACCAGGAAGCCGATGATACACAGGAGCAGAGCGCAGATCAGCCCCCACTGCCTCAGTCTTGTGTAATCTGCAATGGAGAAATCAGTTACTGGCAATCTATAGGGGAAGTGTACAATGAGTGTCACAGCTGCAGTGTGATAATACCAAGCCGTCTATTATTATTTCATTCTACTGTACTATATTATACTGTATGGGTTGAGGTGGAGTCAGCTGCATTTACATGTGATGAATGTGCGTAGAAGAATATCATGCTATGGTTTATCATCTGTTAACATAGCAGACAAGAATGTGGCCACTAGGTGGAGCCGAGGAGCATTGGAATTTTCCTGTGCTCCTCGGCTCCACCTAGTGGCCAAACCGTGCAGCGAATCTCATTCGCATAGCTGTTCTCTATGCGAACGGTTTATAACTGACTTACTGAACGTACATGGTGGCAGCCAGGGACGCCGATCGAAGGGTAGAGGCAGAACTCCTGTACCAGGCCCCATTGGTTGGGCAACAGAGCCCAAGCACAGCAGTGCAGAAGCAGTAAAGGTGGACCTGTGGCCTAGACCACAGACAATGCACCCCGTGGCGCAGTAAAGGTGGACCTGTGGCCCAGACCACCGACAATGCACCCCGTGGCGCAGTAAAGGTGGACCTGTGGCCCAGACCACAGACAGTGTACCCCGATTACCTTTTGTTGAGGGAAGGGTGCCGTTTGGCTTGTCCAGTAACCCAAAGATCACCTGACATCGCAGACAAGGCGAGTAGACTGTATGGGGCCCCACGATTTCTAATAGCGTCCCTAGTGGCCTCCACATAACATGCCCATTTTCTGGGTGATCATGCCAAGACCACACCCATTTTCTGAAGCAGTCCCACAGCTAAATATGCAGAAACTGCTGCAACCCCCCCAATGAATAACCTTTTACCTGCACATGCTCAGTAAGTCAAATTAGGGTGGTGCTGTGAACCCGGGGCACAGCCCTATCAGGACAAAGGGCCCAGATGGGGGACTGTCCTGGCAAATCTGGACCAGTTGGCATCCATGTATTATGGGAAGGTCTTTTTTTTTTTTTTTAAATGAATTGCCTGGTGACAGGTCCTCTTTAAATGAAAGTTGCCATTGTGTCTTAGACTTTGGACCTTTGCCGTTCCCCGGCCTCAGTAAAAGTTCTCTACGAAAGTCTACAAAGCTGATTTGTTACCCACCGTAAAAAAAGATCTGGTCGTGTTCCCGTCTTCTGGAGTCGTCTGAAAGCCAGAAAATGTGAGAAGCTGGGTTAGATCATGAATGATCGCACCAGGGACCTTCCAAGGTCATGCTTAAAGTGGACCTGTCAGGACAAAAGCAGTTCAGCAACTGCCATGGCTTAGTATCATTTGAAGGCTCAGGGTGAGTGATCTGTGCTTTGCTGCCTTATGGATGATTGATCTGGAACAAGGCACGCAGTCAGCCAAGTCAGACATTGGAGGCTACGAATGCTGAGGTCTTCTTCTGAAAATGTTAGGTGCCTGGCTGTCAGGTTGAGTCTCTGACCCAGAACGAAAAAAAAAATGAGGTTCTCTCGCTTTCCCGAACTGCGTTCTTGTTCTCGGATCAGCCCCCTTTCATTCACTGTCACCATGACAGGTGACGGGGATTGGGGCAGTGACATCACTCTCTTGGTCGTGTGACCATTCGTGATCACAGGGGAAGGAAGTCACACGCAAGCACATACCCACCAGAGTCAGATGTAAGGACGAGGTGACATTGTGCAGAGAATCACTAGGTAACTAGAAGGAGGTCAGCAATGGCCTCCATACTTCTCCTCTCTTCAATGATGACATCACAGAGTTTGCGCCTTCGAAAAAAAATAAGTCAGCTGAGGCAGATCCTGAATTTTTCTTCTGACAGGTCCTCTTTAATTACTAGCAATGGGCCGGCAATGGTAAATGCTTCCGTTAAATTGCCTTCAACAGCAAACAAGAGAAACGCTCTCACCTTTGACTCTGGCATGCGTACTGCTTCTTGATGTGGTCACGGACCTTCTGGTGATGGCTGCAAGAACACAAAAACGGGGTTAGTTTTTTTTTGTTTTTTCGGGAGCAGACCACAAAGTGTTATAACAAGAAGGAACGTTGAGAGGGCCGGTCTACTGCCACTGAATATGAGCCAATGGACTCTTATTCTACATAATAGAGTTTGTGGACACCTGACCATGACTTCTATATGAGATTGTTGGACATCCCAATCCCATGGCCATTCATATGGAGTTGTCCCCGCCCCATGGCCATTCATATGGAGTTGTCCCCGCCCCATGGCCATTCATATGGAGTTGTCCCCGCCCCATGGCCGTTAATATGGAGTTGTCCCCGCCCCATGGCCGTTAATATGGAATCGGCCTCCCTTTGTGGCTATAACACCCTCCACTCTTCTGGGAAGACTTTCCACAAGATTCCCATCTGTAAGAATTTGGCCCCATGCAGCCAAAAGAGCATTTGTGAGGTCAGGTATTGATGTTGGATGGGAAGACCCGGCTCACAACTGGCTTTCCAACTCCCAAAGGTCTTTAGTAGGGTTGAGGTCAGGGCTCTGTGCAGGACACTCGAGTTCCTCCACACCAAGCTGGTCCCCCGATGTCTTTATGGAGCTGGCTATGTACACGGGGGACAGTCATGGTGGAACAGGAAAGGGTCTTCACCAAACGTTGGAAGAACACGATTATAACATTGCCCTTCACTGGAATACCCAAACTCATCATTTAAAGGGAATCCATATATTTTTGGCCGTCACTTATTATAGGAAATCTCTGATGTGACGCGAGATCCCGGTGGTGGAGTTGTCCCCGCCCCATGTGAAATTGGCATGTTCCGCTTACAATTCGCTCCTATTGATTGGGTTGTATTTATAATAAAACAAGATGAGGAGAACATATCTAAACTGGAGTAGTTGCCCATGGCAACCAATCTGCTCAGAGAAGCTGATTGGTTGCCATGGACAATTGCGCCAGATTCTGTCTGCTCAAGTTTTGATAAATTACCCCCCCCCCCATGTGTTCTATAGAAAAGAAAGTACATTTGGATATAATTTCCTTACCCGGAGACGTTGCTGTAGTGGGTGACTCCGTTGTGGTGGTCTTAGTGTAAGAGAGGGGGGTCTCTGTGCAAAAAAAAGAAATCAGATTCCACAGATAGAGAGCACTGAGCCAGTCCCATCAGTCTCTGTACAGAGGAGCTTACCCTCTAATGTCCCCTCCCCCCCCACAGTCACATCAGTCTCTGTACAGGAGCTTACACTCTAATGTCCCCTCCCCCCCCACAGTCACATCAGTCTCTGTACAGGAGCTTACACTCTAATGTCCCCTCCCCCCCCACAGTCACATCAGTCTCTGTACAGGAGCTTACACTCTAATGTCCCCTCCCCCCCCACAGTCACATCAGTCTCTGTACAGGAGCTTACACTCTAATGTCCCCTCCCCCCCCACAGTCACATCAGTCTCTGTACAGGAGCTTACACTCTAATGTCCCCTCCCCCCCCACAGTCACATCAGTCTCTGTACAGGAGCTTACACTCTAATGTCCCCTCCCCCCCCACAGTCACATCAGTCTCTGTACAGGAGCTTACACTCTAATGTCCCCTCCCCCCCCACAGTCACATCAGTCTCTGTACAGGAGCTTACACTCTAATGTCCCCTCCCCCCCCACAGTCACATCAGTCTCTGTACAGGAGCTTACACTCTAATGTCCCCTCCCCCCCCACAGTCACATCAGTCTCTGTACAGGAGCTTACACTCTAATGTCCCCTCCCCCCCCACAGTCACATCAGTCTCTGTACAGGAGCTTACACTCTAATGTCCCCTCCCCCCCCACAGTCACATCAGTCTCTGTACAGGAGCTTACACTCTAATGTCCCCTCCCCCCCCACAGTCACATCAGTCTCTGTACAGGAGCTTACACTCTAATGTCCCCTCCCCCCCCACAGTCACATCAGTCTCTGTACAGGAGCTTACACTCTAATGTCCCCTCCCCCCCCACAGTCACATCAGTCTCTGTACAGGAGCTTACACTCTAATGTCCCCTCCCCCCCCACAGTCACATCAGTCTCTGTACAGGAGCTTACACTCTAATGTCCCCTCCCCCCCCACAGTCACATCAGTCTCTGTACAGGAGCTTACACTCTAATGTCCCCTCCCCCCCCACAGTCACATCAGTCTCTGTACAGGAGCTTACACTCTAATGTCCCCTCCCCCCCCACAGTCACATCAGTCTCTGTACAGGAGCTTACACTCTAATGTCCCCTCCCCCCCCACAGTCACATCAGTCTCTGTACAGGAGCTTACACTCTAATGTCCCCTCCCCCCCCACAGTCACATCAGTCTCTGTACAGGAGCTTACACTCTAATGTCCCCTCCCCCCCCACAGTCACATCAGTCTCTGTACAGGAGCTTACACTCTAATGTCCCCTCCCCCCCCACAGTCACATCAGTCTCTGTACAGGAGCTTACACTCTAATGTCCCCTCCCCCCCCACAGTCACATCAGTCTCTGTACAGGAGCTTACACTCTAATGTCCCCTCCCCCCCCACAGTCACATCAGTCTCTGTACAGGAGCTTACACTCTAATGTCCCCTCCCCCCCCACAGTCACATCAGTCTCTGTACAGGAGCTTACACTCTAATGTCCCCTCCCCCCCCACAGTCACATCAGTCTCTGTACAGGAGCTTACACTCTAATGTCCCCTCCCCCCCCACAGTCACATCAGTCTCTGTACAGGAGCTTACACTCTAATGTCCCCTCCCCCCCCACAGTCACATCAGTCTCTGTACAGGAGCTTACACTCTAATGTCCCCTCCCCCCCCACAGTCACATCAGTCTCTGTACAGAGGAGCTTACACTCTAATATATTTGTATATCAAGATGGACGCCACTACACAGGGATGTTTTATACCTCTCGGGCTCTTCGTTGGGGAGATCTGGGCTCCAGAATCCCAACTAGCCCACCAAATGCACCATCATGAGGGGTCCGCACTGCCTGCTGGGAGGGTGTGTTTTACATTATGAAGAATACAAAAGGGGGATTAGGAGTCTCCCAGTTGGGTGGGAGACATTGCAGCCTCCCAGGTTAGGGGGAACCACCACAGCCTTCCAGATGGTTGGGGACCACTGAATCCTCCTAGGATAGGGGGGCCACTGCAGCCTCCCAGATGGGTGGGAACACAGCAGCACTGGAACTAAGGGGAGGAGCCCAACCCCTGAAAACAACCCCCCACATAATCCCTCTCCGCCAAACTTTACACTTGGCACAATGCAGTCAGGCAAGTACCGTTCCCCCGGCAACCGCCAAACCCAGACACGCCCATCGGATTGCCAGACAGAGAAGCGTGATTGGTCACTCCAGAGACCACGTCTCCACTTCTCTAGAGTCCAGTGGCGGCGTGCTTTACACCACGGCATCCCACGCTTTGCATTGCACTTGGTGATGTGCGGCTTGGATGCAGCTGCTCGGCCATGGAAACCCATTCCATGAAGCTCTCTACGCACTGTTGTTGTGCCAATCTGACGGCCGCATGGAGTTTGGAGGTCGGTAGCTATTGGCTCTGCAGACAGTTGGTGACTTCTGCTCGCTGTGCGCTTCAGCATGCGCTGACCCCGCCCTGTCATGTGACGTGGCCGACCACTTCCTGGCTGAGTTGCTGTTGTTCCCAGTTGCTTCCACTTTGTTATAATCCCAGTAACATGTGACCGCGGAATATTTAGTAGCCAGGAAATGTCACGGATGGACTTATTGCACAGGTGACAACCTATCACGGCGCCACGCTTGTAGTCACTGAGCTCCTGAGAGCGACCCGTTCTCTCACAAATGTCTGTAGAAGCGTCTGCATGCCGAGGTGCCTCATCCTATACACCGGGGGCCATGGAGGTGATTGGGACACCTGAATCACATGATTTGGAGGGGGGGCCCAATACTTTTGGCAATATAGTGTGTATTAGATGGTCCTCATATTGGTGTACGTGGCGCGGTGAATAGACTGGCGTCGGATCTCCGTGCGGTTTTCTCTGTATAAAAGTATTTCCTTTGTTCTATCACCACAGAGGAGGATTGTCTCGCCCCGTACAATGCATCTATTATGATCCGATAAACAAACTCCTCCGCGGTGGACATTTTGTTACATGCAAATATTAATATATTCAAATTCTTACGTTTGTATCTAAACCCGAGAACCAAAATGTCCCCTATCGCCGCTTCTCAGTCCTCGGGTGCGGCAGCTGC